CCTCGCCGGAGGAGCGCTGGGTGCTGGCGGGACCGAGCGGCCATGGCGGGCCAGAAGACCCCGGCGCTCCCGCTGCCCGATGGAAAAGACACATCGTGCGGCAGCTTCGACAGCGAGACCGCACGCAAAAAGCACTCTTCCTGGAGCTGGTGCCGGCCTGTGAGTGCAGTGCGTCCTGGGGCCTTAGATGGCCGTCGAGGGGATGGGGCTCGGGGCTCGGGTTTGTCTGGCTCCTCGGGCTGTATGTGACCCAAGTGCACCAATGCCTTTTCTTTGGCGCACTTTGCTTTTCGCCTCCGAAGCCTTGGGCCAGCTAAATCTTCAGTCTGTTACACTCCAGCTCCGACTAGCTAGCATTCCTGCCCTTTCCAGGCCAGGCTCTGCTTAGATCCCCTTCCTGGACCCTCTGGGTGCCCTGCTCTTCCTCGCCCCTCAGGGCCAAGCTCTGCCTCCCACATACTGGGCTTCCTAGGGGCAGATTCGTCAGCGAGTGTTTTTTTTTTTTAGGGTCTTTTATACTTCCCCTTCCTGGGCAGTCCCCGGAGTAGAGCCAGGTCAGTCCTTTTGGTTCTCGTAAGCACAGTGAAAGAACGTGGGACTGTCTAGAGCAGCTACTTTTAAACTCTGAATCTCCAGGGAGGAAGCTCAGAGCCTGAGGCTTTGCCACTGATAGGTGATTCTGGCCCAGGTTTTGGAGCATCTCTGTGTCCAGCCAACCACAGCCTGAGGGAGAAGCAGTGGGCTGCAGGCCGTGGAGGGAGGTGGCTGAGCCTAGGGAAGTCAGACTGAGTTGTTTCTGGGGAGCTGGTCACGAGCAGGTACTGGCAGCTCAAGCCAGGATGAACAGGTGTGTATCTCTGTGTAGCACCCCTGGTCATCTGAGATTGTACGTCTGTGGTTGAAAGTGTACCCACCTCCAGCTCCACCCCGACAATTGAATTTGCTGCTTTTGTCCTGGGAGGTTTCTTCGCAACCTTTTGGGCTGCTTAGTCTTCTCCCTTCAGGAATGTGAGGCCAGCCCCATGTCTCTAGGCAGCCTCACTTCTTCACTGCTTTGATGGGCACTGGAACCATCCAATTTGAGGGAGGAGTCACTTCACTTCCACCCCCTGGGAGCTGCAAATCTGTGGGACTGGAGAGATCCTGGAGGGCTGCACTCAGACACACTGAAAATCCAGTCTTCCCTGTAGTCTTGGGCAGGTCATATCCCTAAGCCTTGGATTTCTCTCTCTTGTTAAACTGGGCAAAATCTTCTTTAGATTTGCTGGGGGCAGTGCAGTGCCCTGGGGGTTGGGGTGGGGTTTTGTTCGAGAACCAGGCCAGTGACCTCAGTCAAGATGACAGGTAGGGAATGGGGTGAGGGAAAGGAGCTGAGGAGCTAGGCCTGGGCTTAACACTCCTGCACTACCCTGCCCTGGAACTGGTGAGAAAAGAGGAAGTGACCATGGGTAGGGGTAGAGGGGTTGTGTTCTAGGGTCTACAGCAGAAACTACCAAACTCAAGGACTTTCTGTTGTGGCGTGGGAGGTACCTTACACCAACCCTGGGGAAGTAAGGATTGTTGTTTAGTCCAGAAAGTTAGAGCTCCTGGAGGGGAAGTAACTTGCCAAAGGCTACACGTAGGCTGGTGGCACTCAGTTTGTTTCCTCACTCTCTGGGGCCAGGCCCTGACCTAAAGGATCGATCCCTGGCCCCTTCCTTCCCTGGGACCCTCAGCTGGCAGTGCCCAGCCATCTCCTTCCCCAGCAACAGCTATCCTTCTCTGTCCCTGGGAGAGCAGATCTTTTCCTGGGAAGGCCTGGGGGTTATACTCTGAGGAGGCTGTGCAAGGGCTGGAGGTCCTGGGAGAGCTACACAAACACTCCCCAGGCAAGGGCAGAGTCCAGCCTGCCAGTAGCTCTCTATCTGCATCTCTGGGCTCCTGCAGCACTCCCAGAAGAGAGGTCACTTGTACACCTGGAGTCTGCTGGGAAGTGTCTGTCTTTGCCCCAGGCTCACCCTCTTGCACGCCTAGATAACCGTCTCCTAGAGAAGGCTGAGCTGCTGGCCCGGTTCTCAGAGAAGCTGCAGCCAGAGCCAAACGATGTCACTGCTGCTACCCACCAGGGCCCCTGGTAAGTGTATGTGTGTTTGTGGTCACAATGGGCTTCCTGTGCCTGGGCCCTGCCCCCACTGCCTATGCTGGGTTCATTCTCTCCCTGGCACCTCACTGGCCCCTGGCTGCTGCCCAGGGGAGGGGGGAGGCAGGCTCTTGATCCTTCCCCCAGGCCAGCTGCTTAGAGTGTCTTTCTCCACCACCCTTCTCAGTCTATCTCTGCATTTGTCCCATCTCCTCCCCCTCCCACTTCCATGCTCCTCTGTCTTTTTCTGTTTCCCTGACCCTTACCTGATGCCTACAGAAAGGGCATGATGCCATCTATTCCAAAGATGGAGTGAAGATGAGAACCAGGAAAGGGTTAGGGCTTAGAGTTGGGAGGTGCTTTTTGAGGAGCATCCTGGCCAGGGAACTCAAGGCCCCGGGGAATCCTAGAGCGGAGGGCAGCCCCAGTTTCTGGAGACTTGCTCTTTCCTCTTCTGGCTTTTTGGCTCCCACCCTCCTCAGGAGAAAGTTCAAGGCTCTGGTTTCAAACTTTTCATGTGCATCCTCTGGGTGAATGGAGGGACAGTGAACACTACTCTCTGATTGGTTGACAGGGAAGAGGAGCCAGGGCCTGACTCAGACCAAGTCCCATCACCAGCTGCTCAGAGGGTGAAGTGGCAAGAGGAGGAAGAGGGGCTCCGGCTGGTGTGTGGAGAGGTAGGCTGGGCAGGGGTCTGAGAGAGAATGAGGTGGGGCCAGGATCCAGGACTTTGGGGCTGGGAGATGTGGTCCAAGGAGCCAGCAAGTGGGGGACATTCCCTAAATCCAATGCCTTGAGGCTAGACAGGGGTCAGAGTGCTCTCTAGCTTGGCTCTGGCAGCCCAGGATGAAGTGGGCTCCAACAGCAGCTGTAAGAAGTAGGTGAGAGCTCAGGGAGTTGTGTGGGGACCAGACAGCCTCTGTTCTCCCTTCTGGATGGTCCAGCCTGCTCTGCTCATCACTTGCCCTGCAAACCCCAGGACCCAGCACCAGGTGATACTCAATACACATTTGCAGACTAAAAGTAAGGTGGTCCACCTCCATGGCATGGGTGCTTCCTCCACCTGACACTGCACTGCTGCCCACCCCCAATCTCCACCTCCATGGTGTCTCTTGGCTTGTTTTACCACATTCTCCTGGTTTTCCTCTCATTTCTACAGCTGTTGTTTTTGGGGTTTTTTTGGGGGGGAAAGAGGGAGAGGTAATTAGGTTTATTTATTTATTCTTGGAGGAGGTACTGGGGATTGAACCCAGGATGAATGCTAAGCATGAGCTATACCCTCCCCTCTCATAGCTGTTGTTTCTGAACTTTCTTCTCTGGCTCTTCTCCCTCCTCTTTATTCCCCTCCATTTAGATGTGGATGTTCTTTGGAGCTTGGGTGAGTTCACTGACTCCCGTGGCCTCAGAGACTTCTCTGTGTTTGCTATTCCCAGAACCATCTCTAGCTCAGCCATCTCATATGAGCTCCAGACTTTTCTTACTCAGTTGCTTTTTGGACTTCACATCTAAAATCAGACTCAGCATCGCCCTTAAAATAACATGGCCAACGCCACCTTAAGGCAACTCCCTGAGGGCACTGGGCATTAAGCATTACTTTGGCTAATCTGCCACAACTTTATGGTTGCAGAGGAAAATGAGGCTTAGGGAGGTAGAGCCAGGATTTGGACTCCCTCCCACCAATCCACCTTCAGTGATCTCCATTCATTCTTCCAATACTGACAATCACTATATCTAAGGCATAGGCAATGCAGCAGTAAACACGACTTGGCCCCATGGAGCTTCCAGTCCACTGGAGGAGGCTTATAGGCCAGTAAACACCTACCTGGTTCCTACAGGCCAAGTCACTTGCTCATCTACCATGGAGATGGGGCTATGAATCCAGTGAGAGCCTCTCCCGCAGAGCCCCTGTTGCAGCTTTACATTTGAGAGGTTGTCAAACATCTGAGTCTCCTTCTGGGCTGGGAGTGTCCCAAGGCCTGGGATGCCTTTGGTTTGCCTCTGTTGTATCCCTGGGGCCAGGTTCCCCACAGTCCACACTAATGAATATTTGTAGACTAGGTGATAAATGAGGTATATCATTCTTCCCTCTATTGGTAACCAGCCACGAGGTTAGAAGCTCAAGGGCACCTCTGACCCGTCCCAGCCCTCCATCCTGAGCAAGTCACCTCCAATTCCATCAACTTCTGTTTCTTGTACCCTATCTGGCCTGGTCCAGGTTACTATCTTCCCTCCCTGGATGACTCCTCCTTTGGCACCGCCATCCATTCTCCATTCAGCACTCGAGTGATGTATTTTAATAAAAAAAAAGATCTCCATTGAAAAAGACAAGTAATATACTAATACATGCTTGTTGTGAACATTTCAGTAGAACAGAGGCCCATAGAGTGAAAAAGTAAAAGTCCCTTTCACCACCTCTCCCCGTTAACTGGTTTGGTCTGTATCTTCCGAAGCTCCTTAGCCTGCGTCCCCAGTCAGGTCCTCTAGCCTCATGTTGCATTTCCTGGCACTCTCTCCTCTCTGAGCTCATGTTTGTTTCAGATACTTCCATGCACCCCTCACCTTCAGCACTCCCTCATCACTTCCTCGGACACATACCAGTCCCATTGGATATGCCAGGAGACAGGGAGGCTTTTTCTTTAATTCTTAATACTCTTCCACATATCACAACAAGCATGTATTATTATTGTTTTAACTTCTTATTTTGAAATGCAGTGCAGAGAAGTCCTGTGTACCCTTTACCCAGTCTCCCTTAGTGGTTACATCTTATGTAACCATCGTACACACAACTGGGAAATTGATATTGGTATAAAGTGTATATAGTTCTTTGTCATTTTGTCACCTATGTAGATTTGTGAGCCCATCAAGATACAGCACTATTTCATCACCACAAAGATCTCCCTCTTGCTACCCCATTTTTGTCACAATTCAGCCCTCTTCTCCTGCCATCCCTAACTCCTGGCAGCCACTAATTTGTTTTCCATCTCTATTATTTAAATTTTGAAAAGCATCCGGAAAAATGTCAAATATTAAAACATCAGTGAAAGTATATGATGGGTGAGGAAGCAGAAGTGGTGGTCAATGGAAGAAATTATAAATGTTATAAACTGGGCTATCTATGAAGGAAAGCTCCCTGCCCGAAATGTGCACTGTCCCCCGCTCCCCGGCCCACTCACACAGTCAATGCAGGGGGACACCAACCTTACTCCTCAACCCATCCCTCACCAGGCCCTGCCGTGAGAAAGAACACAGGAACAGTTCAGCAGCAAGAGCCCCCAGCCGTGGTTATTTCATGTTCTTCTTGTCATACTATTGGAAACTGCTTTGCTTGGCGTCTGTCTCTCCCACTGACCTGTCAGTTCTGTGGTTCCCTAGCTCTGGGCTCTTAGTTGAAGGACTGTTCAGTGAGGCAGGGGGATAGATGAGATGACCCTTAACCCCACTGTTGGGCTGGGAGGAACTCCAATATTCAGTCTGGGCCCTGTGCTCCCACAGTCCATTCCTGTTCTTAGCCCATGTGTTTCTACTCAGGTCTCCTTGTTGCTCTCTAGGATCTATGCTTGGGTAGGCCAGGGCTTGAAGGGATGGGGAACAGAACACACATCCCTTAAACCTCTCCAGTAGACCAGTCCTTTAACTTGGAGCGTGATGTCAGTTGGCCTGGGTTCAGATATAAGTTATGCCACTTAGCTGTGTGACTTTGGGTAAGACACTTAACCTCTCTGTGTCAATGTCCTCGTCTGTAAAATGGGAATGGCAATATCTACTGGATGGTTGTGTTATGGGTATTAAACGAGTTAATACGTGTACAGTGCTCAGAACAAGACCTGGCACACATAAGCGCCATAAAAATGATCACAATTATTTGAAATACTATTCCTTATAGTAATTCCGTGTTATCGCCATGAGGTAAGTACTACCATTCCTATTGGGCAGGTGAGGAAACGGAGCAGGTTCAGAGAGGTTAAATGACCACCCCAGGGCACAGGAAAAATAAGCGCGCTGCCCAGGACTGAAATTCTGGTGTTAGGCTCCAGAGCCTAAGGCCCTTCCGTTGATCCCTGAAACAGCAGTGCATTCCTGTGCAAGGTGCTACACCTGTCTGCACCTCAGCTTTCTCGTGAGGAAGGGGGCGGGTGGGAGGAGAGGAAACCCTGTCCTACCAGCCTCTCCTGCCGGAGAGGGGCTGGAGGCCCTGCCCAGAGGGGCCCACACCCACCTATGTGGCCTCTCCGCCTCCCGCCTCCGCAGATGGCCTACCAGGTGGTGGTGAAGAGCGAGGCGCTCGGCGCCCTGGAGTCGCAGCTGGGCGAACGGCAAGGCAGGTGAGGCGCGGGCGGTGCGAGAGGGACCCTGCGCACCTCGGGGAGCCTCGGGGCCATCCCTGGCGGGAGAAGGGGACAGGGTCACCAGCAGGGTCCGGAAGCTTTCCCAACGTCCCCTCAAACGTCCCTCACGCCTGTGGCTGGTCGCAGGGGCCTGGAACTGTAGGAGTCCAGGACGGATGGCTTGGTTGAGGATGTTGCTTAGCCGTCTAGCTGGCCGCGTGGCCAGGAGCAAATCTGTCCCAGCTCCAGGACCGCTGTCCCCACAGAGGTGACAGGTTCTCCCCGTCCTCCAGGCTGGCGGCTCTAGAGGCACGCGTGGCGCAGCTGCAGGAGGCGCGGGCGCAAGGGGTGCAGCAGGTAGACGCGCGGTGCGCGCTGAATGAGGCGCAGCGGGAGGCTTACGAGGCGCTGCGTGCGCGCGCCGGGCACCTGGAGGCGGCACTGCGCAG